CCCTACACAGGGTTTCCGAGGCTGGAAATCTTTATGGGAGCAGACCGTCTCATCTTTCTCCCGCAGAGCAGCTGGTAGTTTCGAACTCCTGACCTTGAGGCTCGCAGCCCGATTCATAACCACTACGCTATCAGAGCTCCTTTACCTTACTCTATTATCTTAAAATTCATTGGTCTGTCTTGTATTTTGTCATAGCATTTACCAAAATTGTACCTTTTTCTCATGGCCTTCTTAATGTCTTAATCTTGGTCAAGTTGTGCTGACTTCACCTATACTAGTATTTGAATTTGTCTTTTTCATCTCCAAAAGTAACATGCATTTACTATCTAGAAAGGGGCTCCCCTCCTTCCGCATTGCATCCTGGTGACCATCAAAGAACTTGGCTTTCGGCATTGTTTTTTGTAATTGTGGGACCATACAATGTTTGTGGTTTTGTGATTGACTTACTTCACTCAGCGTAATGCCCTTCAGGTTCATACATGTTATAAAACATTTCATGGATTGCTCATTGTTCTTTATAGTTTTATAGTATCTCCTTCTATGTATATATCACAGTTTGCGTATCTGTTCATCCAATTTACGTTTCTTCTTTTTGCTGTTGTGAATAATACAGGTATGAACATACGTGTTCTATCTTGGATAGAACTTCAAATGATGTACCACTTTGACCTTGTAGGCCCCTGAAAAGGTCTCAGAGACCCCTAGGGGAACCCTGACCACACCTTGAAGACCTCTGAAGCAGACAATTAAAAAGTAGAGAACTGTCGGATTTGATAACATAATTAACAAGTTTGACCTGAGACATATCTATCTATATAGACCTTCTTCACAAAACCCCCCACAAATACACGCTCTTTCAAGCAAATGGTTTTCTTCATCAGGAGGGACACATGTGCGCAGACAGACTGCAAACACTACAGGATGGACAAGTGCCCGGCCCGCCAGGTGTTCCACCCAGCTGCCTGAGCCCTGGGTCACATGTCAGGAAGAGGCACCACATCAGAGAACAGAGCAGTCTTCTCCTGGCTCAATCACACAGCCAGGACCAGCTGACATCTGGCCACAGAGGGAACAGCCCTTGCTGGGCTCTGTGCCTGCTCAGGGCTCTCCACTTCATTCTCATCATGGGTCCCATGTCAGGGAACCTCCGGGGTCTTCAGTTCAGAGGTGCCAGGTAAAGACTGTCCATTCCCTTCTTCCAGTCTGGCCCCACTGCCCTGTGGAGCCCCTGGGGCTGCTAGGTACAGACGCACCCGGCTCCCGGGCTGTGTGCTTGCCGTTCTTACTTCTATTAACAATGCCCCACTCTGTGCAGGCCCTGCCCTGGGAGGCCAAGAACACACAGTCGACGAGCTGCCCAGGGAGCCAGCACCTTGCACAACCACCTGGGTGGCTCCGACACCCCCTCCTGTGCCCACAGCCACACCTCCTGGAGGGCAGAAGCCCGGCCAAGACTGGAGAGGAGGGCTGGGGCCGGGGGGCGGGGGGTGTTCAGGAGGACTGCTGCTCAGTGCCCCAAAGTACCTGAGGGAGCTTTCAGAACACACACCCCACTTTTATTTTCAAAGTCTCACATTCCTTGAGGTTCTAGCATTGCTCAGTGAAAAAAACAAGCCCGTTGCCGTTGAATGCGTTCCGACTCGTGGTGGCCCCGTTGTGTGTCACCACGTAGGACTGCTCCACGGGGCTGTCTTAGCTGTGATCTTTACAGAAGAAAATTGCCAGGACTTTCTTGCCACAGCGTTGTTGCATGGGTTCAAACCATCAACCTTTAGGTTACTTGTTATTAGGTGTCATCGAGTCAATTCTAACTCATATGACAGAGTAGAACCTCCACATAGGGTTTTCTAGGTTGAAATCTTTACTGGAAGATTGTAGCTTTAGGTTGTTGTTGCTGTTAAGTATCGTGGAGTCCATTGCGTGACTCAATGACTCTGTATAGGGTTTCTGAGGAGCGGCTGGTGAGTTTGAAGTTATCAAATTGTCATGCGTTGGACTTCACCTGACTCCAGGGAGGATAATCCACATGAGCCTCAGCCCAAAGGTGTTTCTGCGGGCAGGGGGGTCAGACACCAGCCACCCCTCCATGGTACTCTCCACTCTCTGCTGGGTTTCATCATTCATTGCAATGGGCACACAGAACTCCCAAACCATCTTCATGAAGATGAGGTTTATTAGAGAAGTAACAGGTTACAATTCCTATTACTAGAAGTAATAGGAACAACTCAGGATACAGTTCACTGATTAGTTCAGGGTTTTCTCAGCTGTGCTTGGCAGCTCTCTCTCTCATCCCTTGGCCCATATTCTCAGCCCCGCCCCTGACCTGCTCAGAAGCAAGTGTTGCAAAGCTCTTTAACGCCACCGATTAGTGTGCTCAGATGCACCCCACACCGCCAGCAAGCCTCCTGCCCAAAGGTGCTCTGCTCTCTGCTCTGTGAGTCAGTGAGCATAGCAGGCTGCTTCCAAGCAACAGCCATCTCATGTCATCTTCAGTGTTATAATTTTCTTTGTCTCCTGAGTCTAGAAGGCTCGCAGCACAGGGACCCTAACTCCAAAGGATGCTATCTGCTTGCAGCTCTTCTTGGGTTTCATCATTCTCCAACCTCTGGGATTGGCTCCCTTAAGCCGTGGGATGGCAAAACTGACCAATTCCCTTCAAAGGTTGCATGCACCTTATTAACAAAATTGTCCAATCCCCTTGGTGTACCTCAAGCACCTTATTTGCATTGTAGGAGTCCTGGTGTACAGTTCTGGCAGTTCAAATTTACCATCCACTCTGTGGAAGCCCTATATAGGGTTGTTAGGAGTCAGAACTGACTTTGTGGCACTTAACACCAGCAACAACAGAATCCACTGCAGCACACAGTAGTTGAGCACAAGCACCACCCAGGAACCCTAACATCCCTAACATGTGCCGGCACTGGGGGGTACGGGCTGGCACTGTGTGTGTGTGGGGTGGGGCTTTCCATGCATCATTTTATTTGTCTTCCACAGTAACTGCTGAGGAAGTTCCATTTTGAAAACAAGATGAGGGTCAGAGTGGTTAGTACTAGGCCAAGCTCACACAGCTATTAAGGGGCCAAGCTTAGAGCCTGGCCTTTCAGTCTTTTCCATCATCATTGCCCTAAGCTGACTCTTCACCTTTCCGAGTCTGCAGCATTAGAACTTCTTGATGCTAGGAGCTAGAGGAGGAAAAGGGGGAAAGGACAGGACCCTCAGGGCTGTAATGTGCTGAAGTTTCTTCTGTTTCATCTGCCATGCCTTGTGTCTAGATCACATGAAGTAGGACCTATGTTTTTTGCTCCCTGTGCCTTGCACATAGTAAGTGGTGCTCCATACGTGTGTGTTGAGTTTAAGAGGAGTGGCCCCTCACCCATCATCTCCATTATCACTACAAGGACAGGCTCATGGAAAGACAAAAGCCCTGGAGACACTCAGGAGGGTGAGGGGGCAGGGGATGGGGACGCCTATGAGATACCTCCCCAAGACACAGTTCCCACCAAAAAACAGAGACACTGTGGGTTCCTTCCTGCTCCTTCAGTGGTTCCTATCCTGGGATGAAGTTAAGGGGTGAAGCCCTAGACTTTGGAACTAGACACCTGGATTTCAAACCTGCCTCCTTCTCTTATGAGCTGTATGATCAAGGAGGGCCGGTTAGGTCACCTCTCTGAGCCCTCCACAGCCACCAAACCTTTAGGTTCTGAATCCACACGTTCTGGTTGTATATGGGCTCTGATTCTGGACCCAGACGACTGGGTTGAAATCCTGGTCCTCTCTTTGCCTCAGTATCTTATCTGTAGAGTGGGGATCTTCATAGCTAGTGCTCACCTTTCTGCATGACTGTGAAAATTATGAGGTGAGTTATGCAGTGCACTTGGCGTATGGTTGTTTCAGTTCAGTACTGTGGAGTCAGTTTGGACTCAGAGTGACTCTGTATAGGGTTTCCCAGGAGTGACTGCTGGATTTGAACCGCCATCCTTGGGGTTAACAGTCCAGGGCTTATCCTACAGCACACAGTTGTTATGGGGGTGGTGGTTGTTAAATGTCTTCGAGTCGATTTGACTCATAGTGACACTGTAGAGGGTTTCTTGGCAGGAGCTGAAAGTCTCATCTTTCTCGGCACCCAGTTAAGTATTAGCTGTCATTAGAAGCAGCGTGGCGCTGTAGGATCAGCACTGAACTTCGAACCACAAGATCAGCAGTTCAAACCCACCATCTGCTCCGGGGAAACCCTGGGTCGCAATGAGTCAGAATCGACTCGACAGCATTTAACAACAACAAGGTTGTGAAGTGCCGCACAGCGACCCTGACATTTGACTCTTGTCAAGCATGCTCACTAAAAGCCATGATTATCTTCACCCTACAGGCTGCAATCTCTGGAGGTGGATTTGGGGTCTTATCTCTGATTCCCCGACCACTAGCAGGGTGCCTGGCACCGAGCTCAATAAACGCTGCAGGTCTGAGAGTGACGGAGTGAAGAAATGCCTGCCTGGACCAGGATGGTGAGGGCAGCCAGAGGGAGAATGGGAAACCGAGGTGTCAGGGAAGAGAAAACAGAGCGGAGGGGAAAGGCCCAGGCGCAGCGATAAGCAAGTGAAGTGAGTGAGAAAAGGAACAGAAGAGGCTGAGGCGGAGAGATAAGGAGGTAAGATGGAGAGGTTGAGGAGCGAGGAAAATGCCCCGGGAGGTAAGGGAATCTCAGGGAGGGGCACAGGCCAGGTCGAAGCCATGGCAAGGAAACTGGCGAGTTGGAGAGGGGCGCACGACTGGGCAGTGGGCGGAACGCCCGGGAATGGGGCGGGAGGGGCTCAAGGGGCTCCACCCTGCCCCCGCCTTGGGGCGGCCGGCCGAGATTGGTTGCGGCACGCTGCAAGGCCGGGACAGGAGCCCCAAGGTGGGAGGCGCCAGGAACATTCGGTGCGCTCAGGAGCCGAGGCGAAGGCAGCCAGCTACTTGGGTGACTTCAGCGGCAGCGGCTGCAGGGGAGTGGCGGGGCCGGGGGCTCTGCGCAGCAAGCGCCAGGGCCATGCGGGTGGCGACGGGGGGCGCGCGGGCCGCCGCGCTGGCGCTGCTACTGGGGGCTCTGCACTCGACGCCGGTGCGCGGCCAGGAGTACGATTACTACGGCTGGCAGGCCGAGCCGCTGCACGGCCGCTCCTACTCCAAGCCGCCGCAGTGCCTCGACATCCCCGCTGACCTGCCGCTCTGCCACACGGTGGGCTACAAGCGCATGCGGCTGCCCAACCTGCTGGAGCACGAGAGCCTGGCCGAGGTGAAGCAGCAGGCGAGTAGCTGGCTGCCGCTGTTGGCCAAGCGCTGCCACTCGGACACGCAGGTCTTCCTTTGCTCGCTTTTCGCGCCCGTCTGTCTCGACCGACCCATTTACCCGTGCCGCTCGCTTTGCGAGGCCGTGCGCGCCGGCTGCGCGCCGCTCATGGAGGCCTATGGCTTCCCCTGGCCCGAGATGCTGCACTGCCACAAGTTCCCCTTGGACAACGACCTCTGCATCGCTGTGCAGTACGGACACCTGCCTGCCACTGCGCCTCCAGGTAGCGCCGCTGCCGTCGCCCCGCGCACTCCGACGGCCCTGGACGCCCGAGAGGTGTCCTGGTCCCTCTCCCCAGCCTTTAGAGCAGCTCTGAGAGTCCCCGATAGAGATCCATCCTCTACACACACACACACACGTTTTCGCCCAGCCCTGTGTGCGCGGGGCTCCCCGCAGCCTTCCCGACGCCCCACCTCCAAAACGGCCCTGTGCCCGCGTAGTGGCTTCCTGCGGCTGCGGACATTCCCATTGGGTCTCCCTACTCCACCTGTTTTCCCTTCCGGCAGACTCTCGACGCCCCCCGCATCGCCCACCTCCCCAAACCGGAGCATCCCTAGGGTCCTTACTATCTGGGGACGTCCCTATAAATCTCAGTACGAGAATGTGGTGGTTGCAAACAATGCCTCTCATCTCCATTGCCCTGCACTAGGGCACCGAGGCGTCGCTGCTGCTCTGGGCTGGGACCTTTGTAGGAGAAAGGGAGGGGAGAGGCGGGCAAGAGAAGCCAGATGATGAGCGTACACCTGGACTATTGCGACCCTCATGTTCTGCCTAGGGAACTTCTCCCACCCTCTTCCCAGTTCCCTGGGCTGGAGTCCTTTGGGTAAACCTCTGGGGGGCGGGGGGGAGGAGGTTCCGGGGCGGAGAGAGATTAGCTAGGTTCGGCCCCTAACAAGGAATTCCGGGAAGAGGTGCTTAACTTCTCAGAATCTTGGTGCTCCTAGCTGTAAAATACGATGTGATCTGGGGTTTGTAAAACCTCAGAATTCCTAATCCAGCCCCAGTCCCGTTACCCCAGTGCTCTTCCTTTCACTGTGCTCCTCTGGAGCCCAGTCCAGCCTGGTAAGCCCCAGACAAGAGGGTAAATGGTGGCATCGGATGGGCGCTCAGTGAGGGTCTAAGCTGCCCAAGGCAGAGACACCCCCTAGGGGCAGCACCTCTTCCTCCTTTTCACATCTTCCATGCTCTCTGCTCCCCACAAAGCATGTTGTTCATGAGTGGCCCACACCACTCACATCCTCCCAGACAACAATCCCATCCCTCAGGGCTAACCCTATGCCTCCTGCCCAGGTCACCCACTTCTACCAAGCCTCTCTCTGGCAGCAGCTGTTGGGAGCTGTCCAGTGACTATAGGGAAGATTAGAAGAAGAGAATCCCCACTCATGAAGTTGGGAATCAGACAGAGACTGAGGGGGCAGGGGAGGAAGTGACATCACAGTCCCCAGCCCAGATCCATGCTCAGAGGGGCCCTTCCACCTGACCCTGCCCTCCACACTCCCCACCCTCATTGAGCTTTCCTTTCCCCAGTGATGGGGCCCATCTGAAGGCAGAGACATAGGAGACCCTGAGCAGTGGTCAGGTGCAGGGAGGGTGTTAGAGTAGCCAGAGGACTAGAGACAGCTTGAAATGTCTGGGTGGCCAACAGATAAAATGCAGAATATTTCATATAAAAATTAAGAATTTTGGCTTCCTTTGAAAAATTGGAAGTGTTAATCTCCCCACTTGAAAGAGGAGCTCCCCCCCACCTGCCGGACCCTGCCCACATCAGTTTTCTGGGAAAGACTGTAAACACTCCAACCCCAGCACCAGACGCGGAGTCCCGTATCCTGAATCCCAAGTCTGTTTCTCAAGCTTTGCAAACTTGGGTAACCTCTCAGGGCCTCAGTCTCCTTTTCTCTAAATCGGGAGTAATAACTCGGGCTGCAGATGGAGTGAGATCACATTGAGAAGACAAGGCACAGAATGGTGATGATGCCCTTACCCTAGCCCTCCCTTGATGAGGTGGTGGGTGGAGACGAGGGCGGGGAGGGGAGGGATGATTGGTAAGTGTTGAAGCCTGAGCCCCAAGTGGATACTGGGACCACAGGGCCCTCACCTGTTGTTCATCTCGACCCCCACCTTCTCTCCTCAGTGACCAAGATCTGTGCCCAGTGTGAGATGGAACACAGCGCTGATGGTCTCATGGATCAGATGTGCTCCAGCGACTTTGGTGAGTGTGGGCCCAGCCCCTCCTCTATGACACACAGTCCACACGTGCCCACCCCAGTCCAGCCCCTCCTCTATGACATGCAGCCCACACGTGCCCACCCCAGTCCAGCCCCTCCTCTATGACATGCAGCCCACACGTGCCCACCCCAGCCCAGCCCCTCCTCTATGGCACACGAAGTCCACACATGCCAACCCCAGTCCAGCCCCTCCTCTACAACACACGCAGTCCACACGCAGTCCACACAGTGCCCACCCCAGCCCACCCCTCCTCTATGACACACGAAGTCCACACACAGTCCACACCCACCACAGTGAATCTCCAGTTTCTGCATGATGGACCTTTTTCAAATCTGATGAGAAGCAGGAAACTGCTCCCCAGAGAAGAACACTGCTTTTAAAAATAATTGAATATCTTTCAATTCCACTTTCCCACAAACTTTGAATCCCCTTAGTATTGTGGTAGACTGACTCCTGGTGTGGCGCTGTTGGATCAGCACGGGACTTGCAAACCTCAATGTCAGCAGTTCAAGCTCACCAGCTGCTCCTTTGAAACCCTACACAGGGTCACTATGAGTTGAACTGACTTGATGGCACTTAACAACAACAACAAAGTATTGTGGTAACATACACATAACATTTACCATTTTAAAGTGGCATTTAGGACATTCAAATTGTGCAGGTATCACCACAAACTAGCTCCAGAACATTCTTCTAATAAAGAACCCTATACCTGGTAAGGAGTCCTGTTGTGACACTGTGGGATAAGCACTGGACCACAAAGTCCGTTTGAACCACAAGGTCAAGGTTCAAACCCACCTGCCACTCCTTGGAAACCCTATACAGGGTCGCTATGAGTTGGAACCAACCTGACAGCACTTAATAACATACCCATTAAGAGCCCACTGGTGTGGTGCTGTGGGATAAACACTGGACACCTCACCACAAGGTCGGATGTTGAAACCCACCTGCTGCTCTCCAAAGGCCTGTACAGGATTTCTCAATGGTGCACAGCATGCTCATTAAGTCGTCCCTTCCCCTGTCCCCTCCCCTGAGGCCTCTAATCTGCTTTCCACCTCTCTTTGCTCATCATCTCAGGGGCTTCAGGAGCCCCTTCAAGGCTATGGTCATAGAAACAATGACCAGCAGGACTCCTGTCCAGAGGTCCTCCGCAGATGGATTTGTCCCTTTAGGGACTGCATGCTTCACTCAGATGGATGGGGAAATGGGCTTGGGGGATAGGATCCAGGATGTTAGCATAGTATCCTCACCCCTGGGCACCTCTTCCTAGCACCCAGTACACGTCTGGCTGAGGAGCTGTGGTCACCTATCTGCCCAGCGACATCCTGGAGCTCGTGTGCCCAGGACAGTCCTGCCAACATGTGGTTTTGACAAAGCCAGCTCCTTATACTGTGTCTTAGCCTCCTTGTGTATAAAGAAGAACTAATAACACTGTCCTTGCTTCAAAGGTGTCTTTCCTGAAGTCAGTCTGTTTGGAAAGAGAATACTGCTATTGTGTGGGAGAGGTGATGCGGGAGGGAGGTATCAGAGAGAAAGGGATTTTATGAAACTTCCTTCCCTAAGTGGGCAAAGTTATTCCTCCTGGCTGCTCAGAGTAAGAGACTACCCACCTCAAAGGGCCTGGACTGTGACTCTTTGTCCACAAACCCTGCCTTCAACCACCTCCCCTCACCCCCCACCACATACACACACAATACATACCACAAACATGCTTTCACATACACTGACATATACTCACACACACTCCACAGACCACAGATGTGCTTACACACATACAAACATACCCACACATACTCTCATACACAGATGCTACAGACGTGCTCATACGCACACAACACGGACCACAGACATACTCTCATACATACACATACATACACACACAGGGCATAGTGTGCTGGAGCTGGTGGTCCATATCTTTTTCCATTTCCCTGTTCAGTGATGTGATCGGGTGGGGCATTTACCCCAGGGGTAAATATCAAGTCTACTTCCTGTCCGAGTCTAGTGTTAAACATTTACCAGCCCACCACTGATGAAGTCAAACTCCTGTGCACTCCAATCTACACAAACGCACACCACACAGTAAGAAACCCGAGTTGCAGACTCTACAATTCAAGCAGGTCACCACCTCTCCAAACCTCATTTTCCCTCTCTGGTACCTAGAGGGCGGAATGAACAGTACCAGTGAAAGTTCAGCACAAGAGAAGAGGTACAGAAAGAATCAAATGCACACTTTCCACTCACCCCTCCCAAGCTCCCAGAGCACAGGTCTAGCAATGCTGGGGTCACCAAGGTCCTGAGAGCATGTCCCTCCCTCCCACAGTGGTCAAAATGCGCATCAAGGAGATCAAGATGGAGAATGGAGACAGGAAGCTGATCGGATCCCAAAAGAAGAAGAAGCTGCTCAAGTCGGGGCCCCTGAAGCGCAAGGACTCCAAGCGGCTGGTGCTGCACATGAAGAATGGTGCAGGCTGCCCCTGCCCGCAGCTGGACAGCCTGGCAGGCAGCTTCCTAGTCATGGGCCGAAAGGTGGACGGACAGCTGCTGCTCATGGCTGTGTACCGCTGGGACAAGAAGAACAAGGAGATGAAGTTCGCGGTCAAATTCATGTTCTCCTACCCCTGCTCTCTCTACTACCCCTTCTTCTATGGGGCAGACCCTCACTGAAGGGTGCTCCTTCTTGCCCACCCCCCTTACAGCCAGATGTGCCTTGCCCCCTCCCTTCTCATCCCCCCTGGTCTCACTCCTCCCCCTTGCTGACCCACAGGTCCTAATGGATGGGCATGGAGCTGGGGCTGTGTGCTTCTCCACCAGGTATACCTGGGGGGTCTTGTGCATCTTTCCTTAGGAACAAGAAAAGTGGGATCAGGGGCTCTGAGCAGCCTGAGGAAGTGGTTTCAAGAGATGAGCTGTGTCTGCTCCCCTCTGCTGGTGGTGGGGCTTCATCTTGGAAGAGGGTCTCATATTATTAGGCTGAGCTACTCCAGGGAGCTGTTACCCTCCCCCACAGTTGCTTTGTGAACCTTCATAGTAACCTTCCAAAGGAAAAAGTTAAGATCACAAAACCCTGCAACCAGACCCCCAGCCTCCCATCTCTGCCCTGTGCTCCTAGAGCTCCAGGGACCTAGTGTAAGACTAGATCTTTGAGCAGATTCCCCCTTTCATGGATGGCAGCTTGGATTCACTGCTCAGCCTCCACACCTCCTCATCCCAATGATGAGTAAATTATTGCTACTGCTGAGGCTATATACTTAAGACACTAGACAGGGTTCTGGCTTTTGTTTTGTTTTCAGTTTTTAACATTTTTAATTAAATCAAAGAAACCAGTGGTTGGTATTGACCAGGTGACTTGTCATTTTGTTCCCAAGAATTGTAGGGAGGAGGTTTAGAATGAAATTATAGAAAGAGCATCCTTATCTTAGCCCACTGCCTGGCCACAGACCTGTGTGAAATACCTACAAAGAGCAAAACCCTGTGTCTATGGGGTCCCCAGAGTCTGCCCTCTCCCTGGACCACGGAATGAGGGTTGAAAAAAACTGTCTTTGTATTCAAGGAGGCCCTGAGGAGGAGCAGAGGGGCCACGTTCCCCATTCTTCTCCCTCAGTCAGGAGACTCCCACAGTCCTGCATCACGTCCTGATCTGAAAGCCCAGAAGCCAGAGACCCAAGCTTCTCCAAGTGTGGTCCCCCAATCACCATCACCTGTGGACTTGTCAGAAGTGCAACATCTCAGGCCCCATGCCAGACTTCTTGCTGCTAAGTGTCCTCGAGTCGGTTCCAACTCATAGCCACCCTGTGTAGGCTTTCTGAGGAGCAGCTGGTGTGTTTGAACCAACAATCTTATGGTTAGCAGTCCAGTGCTTACCCTACAGTGTCACATCATAGAGCGTGTATTTTAACATGAGAACCATCTAAGGAGCTTTATAAAGCCCTCAATCCAAATTAAATCCAATCACTCCCAGGGAACCCAGAAGTCAGTACTGTTTCAGATGCGCCACATGGTAATGTGCAGTCGGGATTAAGAACTACTGTCTAGATAAGCCAATACCTGCGGCAACAAAGTGTGTGTGTGGGGGGGGGGATGGCTGGTACTGCGCTCCGGGGTAGGGAGCTAAGGTGCCTGAAGGGGGGGTGGTGATTCTTCCCTAGGGCTCAGAACCACTGGAGGCTGCTGCCTTGAGGTGGAAGCGGGGTGGTGGTGAAGGTTTGCAATGGAGGTAAGTGGTCCCTACCACTCAAGTGTTGAGCATTCTGGGAGGGGTGGTGCCAGGAAAGAGTTACTTGGGGGCAGAGGGTTCAGGAAATACTCAGGGCAGATGAACTCAGAGTAGGGGGTCAGATCCCAGAGGGGTACTCCTCACCAAGTGGGTGGAGCTGAGATGCCAGGGCCTGTCTGGAGACGTGTGCCTCCTGCAAGAGAAGCCTCATTCTCTGAGGGGAGGAAACTCTTGGCTTGAGCTGCCTCAGAGGATGGAGAAAAATGGCACCTCCAGAAAAGCGAAGGGTCTGAATTCTTCTGTGGAGCCAGCTTGAGCTGTGCTCTCTTAGGTCTCATAACAGGTGGTCTGACCACCTGCCCACCCTGGGCAGTCAAGTGGCCTCCACACAGATCAGATTGCCTGGGAAAGCCACTGGCATCCACCCTCACCCAAACCCTGCCCAGCGTCTCGGGCTCCCTGAATCTGCTCCTTGTCTCCCAGCCTCCTACCCCTAACGAATATTTACAGACACTTCTATGGTCAACCAGGACCTGGGATTGTTTTTCCACTGAACACACAGGGCTCCAGGCCGACTTCTGGCTAGAGTATAATACTGACCTCTGTCAGGTGCTGGCAGCCAGTGAGAGGGAGTGGGGCAGGGCAAGAGCACTCCCTCAGCCATCCCACGAAGACTCAGAAAGACACAAGGCCTCCACCTCACCCTCAAAGGTCAGGATCCTGCTCTGCCCCTCAACATGTTGTCAGACCACCCAGGAATCTCCTCCAGGGGCCAGAGAGGCCCTTGCCAGGCCTGTGCCCCACCCTTCATTTCCTTCTCACAAAACCCTTCATCCCACCTCACCACAAGGTGGGCCTGGAAACCCCCAGCTGGTGCTGCCCAGAGTGAGCACTCGAAGTTGAGTGGATCATTTCGGATAGACCAGAAACCCCACCCAAGGGCTGGCAGTGGGCTGCCCGGGACCACTGCAGCTGCCCTCTGGGCCTGCCATGTCCGACTCCCTTCTTCCTGCTCCCCGTCTCAACCACACCAAGAGCAGCATGCCAGCAGACTGTGGCCCTTTAATGAGGAAAACAGTGATTTCCAACAAGTCCCACCTGGTAGATTTCCACTTGTCTCTGGCTGGCCAGAACCACGTCACAGGGCCAGCCCATGTAGTTAGAGAGCAGGGTACCAAGTCAAGTTCTACCAATAAGTGAGGGAGGAACTGGGGTCAGGCGCTGGGTTAGAGGCAGCGGGAGAGCCCCAGGCTGGGTCCCAGCACTGTGACTCATGCTGGGGTGACACTGACAGTATTCCTGAGCTGATGTGCCCTGCTGGAAAACGCAGTAGCCACCTCTCTCTGCTTCACAGGGTTGCTGAGGATGAAGCAGGAAAATGAATGAAAAGTGCCTGGAAACCACACCCAGCATGTAGATGCTCATTAAGTAGCAATGAGTATTTTTATTGACCAGAGACCATGGCCTGGCTATGTGCCTACACATAGTAGGCTGTCAGTAAATGCATCATCACTCATCCACCAAGACACACTACTGGCAGGTAGACAAGGAAGGGTAGGCCATCTAGTGAACCAGCACTTTCAGGAGGAGGGGGGAGCCTACATTTGGGGTTCTGGCTTCATAGACTACATCCCTAGGTGGTCCGTAGGCCAGTAACTGGGGAGAATATCTGTAATAGTAACCAATAAACACCAGGCACATGTATTCTAATCTTAGCCTCTCAGACAGTCCTTTGGAACGGGTACTCTTACCATCCCCATTGTAATGATGAGGTGGCTGCAGCTCAGAGAAGTAACCTGCTGGCAGTCAGCCTGTGCACTGCACGCTCTGTTCTAATCACTACACTACTTTCTGCAGGGGGCAAAGTCCACAACAGACAGGGTGTGGGCAGCCCTGCCTCACAGGAAGATTTTTGGGAGCCTGGCTCCCATCCTATTCTGAGGTCCCAGACAAGAGGCAGAGGGGACCAGCCTCCCACAGTGACTTTTCTCCTGACAGAGACAGCCCTCCCCGCTTCACCCCCCATCCAGCCTCTGGTCCTCACAAAGGAAGCTCACATCCCACAACTGTTTAGTTGGCTGTAATCCTGGCTAAAGTTCACTCCTTGGGAAAACCAATGTGGGGGGTGGTTCCTGCTGGAATGTGTGTGGCTGGGACCCAGTGTCCCAGCCCAGACAGCAGCTGGCTCTACTGGGGCTGGCAGGGAGGGGCTGTGGGGCTTGGGAATCCCAAGCCCCCAGCTGTGCCAGAGAATGGAATGTGCTGCTCTGGGGTGTTGAAACACCCAGTCAAGGGGAGGGGGGCAGAGGGGTGGCTGGGAGCAGGGGTGGGGCTCCTGTCACAAGGCTGCCACTGTACCCCTGGAGGCTGAGCCCACTTGGCTAGGGCAGGAGGGAGAGGGTTTGGGGCAGGACCCTCCCGCTTGCTTGGTGGCTCAGAAGCTCCTAGGGCTCGTAGGGGGCAAGCCAGTCAGAGGGAGTGCTATGGGCATCCCAAGTGTCTCCTGTGGCATCCACAGCTATCTGTGGCACGGTTCACATCCCTGCTCCGTCACTTACTCATCTGTATAATGCAGTAAGTAGAGTTTAGCTTTGGGGACTGTCCCAGCTTTAAATGAAGCCGTACACCCAGTACGATGCCTGGCACAAAGCTCACCAAATGAAAACCTCAAAACCATCTTCAGGACCACCAGCCACAGGATGGATGCTGGAGCCTCAAAAGGAATGGCTCTAAAGTTCCCAGGGAACTGGAGGATGAAAATGGAGCATGCTTTGGTTTCAGCTCATGGGCCACATGGTCAATGGCCATAAGTCCTGGACCCCCAGAAGCCACTGGCAGTTCCAAGTCTGTAGGGGCTCACAAGATTGCTCCTACCATCACAGAAAAGGTAACAGAAACCTGAGCCCCAAACCAGGTGATGGCTAGGGTTCCCGCGGGCCCAGCCACACCATCCTCTCCCACTGGTGCCTGAGAGCAAACGGAACACAGACTTCAATTCTACAACAGATGGTTTGCTGTCCAGACCATTCTGCGTTCAGGTCCTCTCGGCTGCTGACCCTGGTCACTGAGGCAGTCAACCCCTCTGTGGCTTCTTTTCCCAGCGTTCTGGCTGCACATACTGAACCCCTCACATGCACATCAAGGGGACAAGGAGGCAGCCCCCAACTTCCCTGCCTGAGGCTGCTGACCCCAATGGAAACTATTTCTCAAACTTCTGGAACCCATGACCCACAAGCCCATGTAAAAGCTGTATTTCATCATTAGGCCTGTTTTCATTTGCCAGGAATAAAATACTCTGTTTTCTCAAACTACATCTTGCTTCTCCTGAGATTCTTCCCTAAATATCTCCCAAAGATTAACCTCTGGTTAAAACACAAAACAAAAAAAGTCAAAAAACCCCAACTGCTGTATACCCTCCAGGGCAGGAGTTCCTCATTCTCTTCCTGAAACTTGCAGGGCTGTTATGACACCAGCACTCAGTGAGCACTCAATCCGCCCGGTACTATGCTCCCCACACGCAGACATCTCCTTTAGTCCTCACATCATGCCCATTTTACAGATGAAGCAGCTGCACAGAGGCGACGGGCCTCCAGGGGGCGCCTGCTCTATACTGCTATCACGTCCCTCCCTCAGTACAGCGCCAGCCCCTGGGGGGCAGGAGGTGGGTGGGGAGGGAAGGGGATGCTTTCTCAGTTGGAGTCCACGTCTCCCAACTGGGAGGCCTCCACAGAAGGGTCCCTGAGCATCCTTCCAACAGGTCTCCTGCCCAGGCTGCCCTCAGCCCCACCCTCCACAGTACACGGGGGCATACGGCTGCCATCACTGCCTCTTCCTACTGCTGCTCAGGCAGGCCCAACTTGGCGACCCTGGACAGGGGTTCCGACTGTACACTCTGATGGGAAAGGCCTCATCTTTTCTCCCATCTGGAGCGGCTGGTGGGTTTGAACTGCCAATCTGTAGTTTGCAGTCCAACACCTAACCCACAATACCACTAGGACTACTTTTCTTTTGCTTAGAGTCCTGAGTTTCCATTCCTCCTAATGTCCTTATCACTCCTCTTGGAACCCAGCTGCTCCTGTAGCTTTGCCCATCTCAAAGTGGCCCCGGTCGGCTGCCTCCCTGCTTCTTAGGTATGTGGGAGCTGCTGGGTTTTTCCTGCTCCAGGGGAAATGCCCGCAGACCAGCACACAGCTGTGAGAGTCATAAGAGCACATGCACAGGCGACAAAGACATGGCTGCCAAAGAGCCTTCACTCAGCAGAAAGACCCCCCTTCTTTACCGCCTCAGACCTGCTGCGGCTGGCCGGCCAAGTACCATGCAAAGCTTTTCTCAGACTCGCCTTCACTGCCCTGTGAAATGGGGAGAAGAGGGCCTCCTCGTGGGATCTCCCCGGAATTCCTCACCCTCTTCCCTACGGCTCTCAGTCTCCCAGAGTTGGCCCTTGCCTGCTTTCTCACAGGGGTTCGCTGAAATACTTCCATTCTGAAGCTTGTGTTGCTTAGTGTTTTCCAAGGTCTGGTCCTGGTTCACCTCCCGGCCCTGGATTTCAATGTGACCAACACGAGCTGAGCTCCACTGGCACACAGGCTCTGCCCTGATGGGGTCAGGAGACCCTGCCCTGCAGCCTTCTTGAGGGGCTAGTACAAGGATCAAGACAAAAACTTCAGAAGCTTGAGGCCTTTTTATTGACAATTCTTCAAATACAGAGGTCCTTTGTGGTCCTCTCCAGTGTACCCTAAACACTCATCTCTTATAGGACAAAGGAGCCCAGGAAGGGGGATTTCCAGGCCTGCCTGGTCCCAGGGACTCACACCTCAGCAGGCCTGGAGCCCAGACAGGCTGGCTTGGCAAGTGCATTGGCCTAGGATGGGTCCCTGGTCTCCCCTCCCAGCCTCCTCAGTCACTGAGAGCTTAATAAGGTCTCAGTCTCTTATAGGCTCTGGGTCCAAGGCAGCCCATGACTCCAGGGAAGAATCCCAGGGCAGAAGAAGCCCCTCCCCATCCTCCTCATCCCGTTCCTTGTGCCACGAGTTCCCAGGAACCAAGACATAAATAAATAAATACTTTAAAAAGGCAGGGCAGCTCTGGGGGACAGGGGGGAGGGGGCACCTGAGCCAGCTCACAGCTTCAAGAGAACACCTGAGTCCTAAAGAGCCCACAAGTGAACAAGGAGCTTCAGGGAAGAGGATGGAACCCCATCTGGTCTTGCACCACAACTAAGAAAGCCCCAGTCAGACGCTACCCTTCCCAGAGCCCCAAGAGTCAAGGACTCTGCCCACCTAAGCTCACACTCCAGAGGGGGTGGGGAGGGTGGCACCTCGCTCTGGCACTGAGTGCCCTCTAGCTGCCCGGCACAGCTGAGAACTACAAGGCTGAGACTTGGCCAGGCAGGGTCTCTGCAAGGTGAGGCAGAGGTCCCGGGGGCTTCCCTAGGTTTTACTCCGCTAATGCTGAAGGAACTACACCCTGCCAGCCCTCCTGTACGTGTCCTCTTCTGGGAGGACTCAGGACCTTCAACCCTACTTCCAGAAACACTTCCGGTCCTTAGCCCCGGTCACACCTCTGGCAGGGAACCGAACAGATCCTGATGCCAGAGGGACAATCAAGGAGCAGCACTGTGGCACTACCAAGCCCTCTGCAGGTGCTGGGAGGTGAAGGACCTGGTGCGAGACCCAGCGGGAGAAAAACCACTTTGGTGATCTCGGGGGTCCTAGAATTCCCAGCTGTGGGCACATGAGTGCTCCTAAAGAAAACCAGGCCTGGCTCACTGCTTCCCTCTAGCTTATATCCCTGCCTAAGCCTGGAGCCCCACCCAGGGCAGAGCAGGGCCAACAAGCCAGCCCTCCCGGAGTTTCAGGGCAGCCAGAACAGACATCCATAGAGAGGGAACTGCTCCAGTCCCTGGCTGCAGACAGAGAGGGGAGCGAAGGGAAGCCTAGCTAGCATCCGAGCCACCTTGGCCCAGTACACACCACCTGGGGTGAGGGGTGGGAGGAGTGGGAGTCTACTGCTGGCTCCAGGGACCGGCGCCCAGCTGCACCCTGGCCTCTCGTCTCATTTGCTCAGGGTCTGGTTGCAAGAAGCACACACAAACACTGTCTCTCTCTGGGCCTCGGGAGCTGAAAAGAGAAAGAGTCAGGTGAGAGGCGTTTGCATGCCCTTTGGCTCATGACCCAAGCTATCAGCTATCAGAACCCCTCTTCAGACCTCACAGTGCCCAGCTCACAACCCTGCCCTCAGAGAGTGCGTGTTCCAGGGAACCAGAACTGCAGGGGAGACTGCACTAGCTGGGCTCTCCCAGGTGTTCCATGCATTAGAAAGGATTTTGGCACCAATAATACACATTTAAAAATGTTTCTTAAATAAAATACCAGAAAGGAATTTTCCAAAATGCTTTCACAGTGGTTATTTCTGGGTGGTAAGATTACAGGCTTATTTTCTCTTCCTTTTTCACTACTATTAATTTTCAAATTTTCTGTAACAAGCACATGTTGCTTTCAAGATCAGAAGGGAGAGAAAGAAAAACCCAAACACTTGATTTAATGTGAAGACAAAGCAGGCTGTGAAACACATCACATTCTTCACGACTTGAACAAAACCAATGTCACTGACTTGTACATACAGACATCGTCGAATTGGGTATGTTCTGCTGTATGTCGTCTTAATAAGCAACAACTAATTTTCAAAAGTAAAAATTTTTAAAGTCATTTTTCTTTTCGATCTTACATATGCACTTATTCCACTGGGGAGTTGCTGGTGGGGAGGGAGTGGGGTGATGAATATTTATCCTTTTTTTATCTGCATTTTTGGTTTTGTAGGAAGAAATGTGTTTTTTGTTCAAAGTGCTACAAAGTTAACAAGAAGGGAATAAAATTCAGAAAGGTGGTTTCCCCTCAGGAAGGCGGGAGGCCCCAGGGGACACCTCATTGTGGCCTTGTAGGAGATCAGAACTACCCATAGTGTTTCCGAGGCTGTCATCTTGATGGGGGCAGATTGCCAGCTCCTTTCTCCCATCAAGTGGCAAATGAGATCACACCACCGACCTTTCCAGTTAGCAGCCAAGCACTTAACCACCGCACCACCAGGGTCTTTGAGGTATAGTTAACATTGTTTTTTAACTTCAGTGACATCTCCACAAGTCTTCATTCTATTACACTAAAACTTCTCAAAGCCGGAACTTGTATAAAGTAGAAATGTGCGTTTTCTCAGAAGAGAAAAACTCAAAACATGTGCCACTAAACCCAACAACAGAAAAGTGGTGGCTGCTTCCGGCAAAGGTGAAGAACGTGTGAGACCCGGAAACACAAGGCAGTCCTGTCGAGTTCTGGCTCTCAGGTTCACCGCGTTAGGCGTCACATGTACGGGTACATGCCACAAGCTCTTACATGGATCAAATAGTCACAATGGGGCTGTTTGTATTTTAAGGGGAAGAAAGGGTTGTTTCTAAGTAGCCAAGCGAGGATCCTGTGTTCCCTGGCCTGGTCCCTGCTGTCACCCACAATGCAGTGTTCCTCTGCCAGCAGCACAACGCACCTGTGGCCCCCATGGAGGACTTGGGCACTTTGAAGGAGCAGCATCGAGAGCAAAAGCTGTTTCCACAATTACTGCAGTTCCGCTGTAGACAAAGAGTTAGGGTCCACATCAGATGGGTCCCCCGCTCCTGCCCCCAGGCACCTGGAGCCCCCAACACCTCCTGCCTTTCCACAAGATGATCCCACCCAAGGAACCTGGAGCTACTGTGGGACAGTGAATGCCCGAGTGGGGTAGGAATGAGGCTACCTGGGACACTACAGAGACAAACTGACAAAGGCAAGAGCACAGGGGTCAGGGAGACACCAGCACTTGGGGAAACCAGGCCGAAGGGGGCCTGAAAAGGAGTGTGACGTTCATCTGTGTTTCCCATCCCCCAACTCCACCCCGATTTCCCTACAACCCAACACTTACAAGCATACTGTCCTCACAACCGCACTTCCTCCAACAGACTTACCCTCTTCTTCAGCACTGAGAAGGTGGCAGAACAGCCCGTACAGCTCCCTGAGAAACAGAGACAGACTCATCCTTGTCCAGCCCATACCTGCCAACTCCTGCCCGGCTCCTCAGGTCCAGCCCACACCTCCCAACTCCTGCCCAGCTCCTCAGGTCCAGTCCACACCAACTAACTCCTGCCCAGCTCCTCAGGTCCAGCCCACACCTCCCAACTCCTGCCCAGCTCCTCAGGTCCAGCCCACACCTCCCAACCCCTACCCAGCTCCTCAGGTCCAGTCCACACCAACTAACTCCTGCCCGGCTCCTCTCAGTCCAGCCCACACCAACCAACTCTTGCCCGGCTCCTCAGGTCCAGTCCATACCAACCAACTCCTGCCCAGCTCCTCAGGTCCAGCCCACACCTCCCAACTCCTGCCCGGCTCCTCAGGTCCAGTCCATATCTCCTAACTCCTGCCCAGCTCCTCAGGTCCAGTCCACACCAACTAACTCCTGCCCGGCTCCTCAGGTCGTCCACACCTCCCAACTCCTGCCTGGCTCCTCAGGTCCAGTCCATACCTCTCAACTCCTGCCTGGCTCCTCAGGTCCAGTCCATACCTCCTAACTCCTGCCTGGCTCCTCAGGTCCAGTCCATACCTCCCAACCCCTGCCCGGCTCTTTTAAAAGGCGACCCTTCAGAAGCCAGTCCAGTTTAGACTCCCTGGGCTGGGAGCAGAGAGCAAGGGAGTAAATTCCAGATTCGAACTCAGAAGGAGGAATTCAAACTAAGGAGGAAAACGGAACTGTCACCAGGAAATCACTAACTCCAGGCCGTACACAGCAACCAGTCCCTGCCACCTACCTGCCTGAGCTTCAAGGGCTCACCTACAAGTTCAGAAGCAAAATGCAAGAACATCCAACAGAATCTACCCACTAATAATCAAGCTGAGCGTCGAGGGACCTGAGTTTGCCTGAAATGACCAGGAAAAGTCCCAAGGAAAGTTAGTTCCAACTACCTTAAATGAAACCTGCCAGCTGTGATGTGCACAGTGCCCACAGGGTAGAGTCAGACTCCTTGTTTCTGTGGCCTGAAGATTCCAGGAGATACTCATAGAAGCAGGCACCTTCCAAGACCACGCAGCTGGGCTGGGGCAGGGTGAGGGGTGTGTGCAGGGCAGAATGCAGGCACTGTGAAAGAGAACTCCTGTCTACCCCACCAGAAATGACAAGATGACAAAGCTTCAGATAGATGGTAGAAGAATAAACGGCCACTGAGAAAACGGTTGGGAGGAGACGGGGGTGTAACAAGACATGAAGGATTATGGAGATGATGAACAAGACCAATAATCAAGGCGACAGCTAGGTAACCAGTCCTAATAGAAGCCATACTTACGACCCGCTCATGTTTTCAGACCCACAGGAGGAAAATTCAAGGCGGGCTGCAACCAAACATGGTCTGATAACAGGTGTCACCCAAGTAGTCAGGCGTGTGAAGCCGAGTGGAGGCTAACTGAAACCCCAGGAAGAAGGAAAAGGCCACACTGGCCTGTGAGTTCAACAAGCTTTAAGGTAAAGGAGAACCCAGAAGGTTCCAAAGACTACCTCGAGGAAATGGACTATGGTTGAAGGCAGAAATAACCAGAAGCCAGAAATAAAAAAGCAGACTCCTTGGTGAGCACACAAATGCTCCCCAAAGGGGACCAGCGAACCCGGTAAAGACTTAAGAGAGAATACTAGAGATTTCTGGAATGTGGGACCTTAAGACCTCCTGTGGCCTGTCGAGAACAATTGTCGTCCTTGGGGAGCACCACTACAACTTCCTGAATCACTGTCTGGTCCATGGTCACCAGGCATCCCTTACACATAGGCACAAAAGCTCAACTGACAGTGTATGTGGTCCCTTCCTCCACAGGCAGAATCTCCTGCGGCTCTTACTATCAGAAACGGCCTGGGAGGGCCCTAGTTAGCAAGGGAAACTGAGGCCACAGCTCCCATAGCTGATGGTCAGCAAGTAGTCCACCACAGGACAAAAGGCAAAAGGCCTGCTGGTGGTACCAAACGAGGAAACAGGCTGATCTAAGACCCTACACTAAGAACTGAGGAAAGGCAGCCACCTCGGCCTCTCTAGTGGGCGGTGAGGGGGTGGGGCAGGGGAAAGGAGGTGCTCGGAGACAGATATCCTGTTAAGTCTCTAGGGAATCCTTACAACCAGAGGGAGTAACAGGGCCAAGCACCCAGGGGCAAACACATGGGCCAGTGAGACTGCCTGGTACCTGTGCGCTCTCCCAGGAGTGACCTCTCCACATGGAGGAAGAGACTCTGCTTCCTCCCAACATCTACCAACTCCTCCTGCTCCGATTCTCAGCAAAGGTCCTGACAGCCCCATCCTAACTCCCCACATGATGATGCCAAAAAGCAGCAAGAGCAGGGGGAGCCCAGGACCCCTCGGGTCTTCCAATGGTCAGGTGGGTTCTTGGACAGAAGCCAGAGAAGCAGCCCGTGAGCAGCCTAGCCTCGTCCCTTCCATAAATCCCTGACCTCCACACACGAGCGGATTGAGCGGATGAAATGGAACAGCGCCCTCGGAGGCTCGGCTCACCTCACCTCACCCCAGCCTGCGAGAAGCAGACACACAGTCAAGCACATCTTAGGGAAAGGCAGGTGAGCTATCACAGACGATGATGAGCAGGGGCTTAGGGGAAGCAGCATTTTCTGGCCTTGTCATCCTCAAGGAACCTGAGAGATCTTTACCCATCCAAGCAGGGAAGATCTAACCCAAATATAAAAACCTAACAGACCTAACTAACACCAAGAGATTACCAGATCCCATGGCAAAGGACAATGAAGGAGTTTGAATCCGAGTCACAGTTCTACCATTTACTGGCCGAACACTTTGGGCAAACCACTCTTTTACCTTGAGCTGTTGTTGTCAGGTACTGTGGAGTCAGTTCTGACTCCTAGTGACCCTATGTACAACAGAACAAAACACTGCCCGGTCCTGTGCCAGCCTCACAATCATTCCTGTATCTGAGCCTACTACAGCAGAATGGGAACATCTAAGCGTCTCTACTTATAATCCCTAGATAGAAACACATCATTTGCTGGAGCAAGAGTGTTAGCTCTTGTGTGGTGTCATCTGGGACTTTTGGAGCCACTGTTCCTGTCGATTAGACCATCAGGACCCAATTCAACTGTGTAGGTGACAGTGCTTGGTGGCCCACAGAAGTCAGTAGTCATCAAGGATAAAAGACAGGGGTCATCTGCGGAGCACACTTCTCTCCTGATACACACTGGGTCACAATGTGCTGGAATCGACTCAGCAGCAGCTTATGGTGGTGGACCCCCAGGGAGGGAGAAGAGGAAGTGGCTGGGTGAGGGGTGTACAAGGGCCCTCAACACTGCTACCAATGTTCTCTTTTATTAAGCTGGGTGGTGGACTCATGGGCACTCGTGATATTATAGTCCACACATCCTATGTGTCATAAACAATGCTTAATGCTTTTTCAAAAAACTCAAAAGACATTCAATTCAAAGATAACCAATCAGAGAAGATAGGTTTTTCCAGGAGATCACTTCCTTTCTTTGGGCAGGAAAGGCAGGAAAGAAAAAGAAAGGGACAGTGGATGTCTGCGGCCAGGCACATCACAGATGGGAGAACATGTCCATAATGGTAATCCAGAGAACACAGGTGCCCTGTGGTTGCAGGGACAGGAAGAAGTCCCTGGTCCAATTCCTCATGAGGAATCCCACAGGCTTCACCCACCAGGGATGGTGACCTTGAACTTGCTCAGAACCAGAACATGTGGGTCCAGCACCTGCCTCTCCCCCTACCCCATGAAGCAAGGCTCTTTTCTTCAGAAGCATGGCTGCCTCAGGACCGCCCCCCACCTTCATGTGGCTCAACTCCCAGTTCTCATCTGGGCCAGGGTTGCAAGCCTTGCTTGCTCATACTGAAATCGTCCTTCCTCAAGGCTGTCTTCTGCCACCCTCCTCCTGCCACCCAGGAACATAAGGACTGGGCCATCTAAAAACATGGCCAGGAGAGTGAGCCCAGGGTCTCCCATGCCTAAAGACAGTCGGCTTCAATTGGCTTCACCTGGATCAGAAGCGCCTCGGACTCTGCAGGATGGGCCAGAACCTCTCATATGATCCCAAACCTAGTGCCACCTAAGGAGCTCTGGTAACGTAGTGGTTATAAATCGGGCTGTGAACTGCAAGGTCAGCAGTTCGAAACTACCAGCTGTTCTGTGGGAGGAAGATAAACCTTTCTGCTCCCGTAAAGATTTACAGCCTCGGAAACCTTGTACAGGGTCGCTATGGGTCGGAACCGACTCCATGGCACATAACAACAACCACTGCCACCTAGTTAATTAGTGACTCAAAGCACCCTAGATAGGATTGCTAAGAACGCAAACCTTCATCTGCAAACAGCCTCATCTCATGTTTCTCCCTCAGGGTGGCTGATGGGTTTGGCCCCGATCTTGCAGTCAGCAGTCCAGTGCCTAACCCTCAGCACCACCAGAGCTCCTTCCCACACTAACAGCACACACCTATTACACACTTACTAGAACTGACTCCACGGTACTTAACAACAAGTGCTGCACTTCAGAAGCATTGGAGCCTTCTAACAATCTTGTGAGGAAAAAACGAACATTATCTAACCCCTTTTACAGAAGGGGAAACCGAGGCACAGAGTGACTGTATCCTTTGCTCAAGGATACCAGCTGAGCTGGGATCTGACGCCACATTAGGTAATGTTCCCAAGGTCCCTCTCAGGCATTTCAAGAATTGAGTCTCGTTTCCTACAACCTAATGCCTGAGAAAGTCAGAAGGACAGGGAGGAAGCTGTGGCCACTCCAACAGTACTGCTGGGTGTCGGCTGTCTCCCAAGGGTCCCACCAGGGGCAGACTCCTTGCTCTTGACACCCACCAGTGCCCTCCCTGCAGGCCTACCGAAGTTGTTGGTGGGGTAACGCTTGCGCAGACGCTCTGTGAGGCGCGACACCTTGCTACGCAGCACCTCGTTTTTGCTCAGGAACCCGTTGTCGTGCAGGGCCAGCTCATCCTCAACCGGGCACGGGGTGCCCTCGTCATCCTCCTGTGGGGAACAGCTCCTTCCAGCCCTGCCCAACTCTTGGCAGGGCCCCCACCAGGCACAGCCGCAGCTGGCTTGGTCCTCCTCTCCCCACCCCATACCCACTCCCTGTCAACCTCCCCGAGGCGCCTACTTACCAGCACCACCAAGTGGGTCTCCTGCCTCCCAAGGTGCGGGGGAGAAGGAGAGAAAGAGCAAGATGGATAGCAAGAAGATGCAAGCTGCTTTGAGAGGGGCATCTTCAAGCAAAAGAGGACCAGAAGTGCTGCTCTGAGTCCCATGTGAGTGTTCCCAAAGGGTGGCAATGACCGTAGCCACCAGAAAAGCTACGCTACTGCTCTCAAACCAGCTGAAAGGAACTTAGTGAGCCCCCCTCCTACTAGGGCAGAGTAGAACAGAATCTAATCCTATGTGAGCGTCTAGAACACCCTTCAGTGGTCAGATTTCAGCTCCCTCCATGAGTCAGCTTGTCTAAAAGTGAAGTGGGTTAGGTGTAAACCTTAGGTCTGGTGAGGGTCACAAGCCCCTCACTTTTATTTCTCACTTTACAAAGAGATATAGTGTTGTTGTTAAGCGGCGCTGAGTCAGTTCCAACTCATAGCAACCCTGTATAGTGTTTCTGAGGAGCAGCTGGTGGGTTTGAACCACCAACCTTGCATGAGCAGTCCAGTGCTTACCCTACAGCACCATACCAGACTCCACAAAGAGACATAATTAAGGACAAGTGATGTCTACTCTAACAAAAGCAATTAAGCAAACATGACAACCAACGGCAAGAGCCACATGGCTTTGGGGACTGGGGACAGCAGGGAGCTGTGATCTTGTTTCACATTACACTCCTCAGCTACACGGGCTGCTGCACACTCAAGAGACACCAGAGTGTCCGGTTTTTCCAGAGAAACTGGATATCTAGACTTTTCACTGAAATGGACCTATCTGTAAATCTTGGCTCAAAAATTATTTTTAAATAGTGCAGGCCCAATAAAAAACACTTCTGCAAGCTACTAGTTTGAACTAAGGCCACAGAATCCCGAGGATGGCCTAACCTCCCCTGACCCAGAACTTGGCCAAGCAGTCACTTTCCCTGCATACAAAGGCGCACCTCACAGAACTCACTCTTGTTCCATGAGTGCCATCAGACACAGGACAGTGCCCTCCAAATCTGCCTCCCCCACATCAGGGGCACCAGCCAATGTCTCCAGGTGAGCAGTGAGTCCTCTAGAATCCAGTCTACCCAGGGGCCAGCATACCAGGAGGGTTCCGTGGCCCCCCTTCAAACCAGTGAGATCCAGCTGAGACCACGTTTCAACTTCTCTTGTGACATTTGTTGTTGTTGTTAAGTGCCACCGAGTCGGTTCCGACCCATAGCGACCCTGTACAGGGTTTCCGAGGGTGTAAATCTTTACGGGAGTAGAAAGCCTCATCTTTCTCCCGCGGAGCAGCTGGTAGTTTCGAACCGCTGACCTTAAGGTTCGCAGCCCGATTCGTAACCACTACGCTACCAGAGCTCCTTGTTTAAAAACCAGACTTGGGATGTAGAGCCCCATGGGCCTCCAGGAGCAGCTGACTGTTGGCCCGGTGAGTGGAGGGTACTGGGGGAGGGCCACCCACCTCAATTGCATCCTTAAACTCCTCATCGGGCTCAGCCTCCTCCGCCTCCTCCACACTGCCTGGTGTGAGGTCCTGGGAAAAGAAACTCTTACAGCAAGAGAGACCAGAGGAGGGAGCCCAACTTCCCAGGAACCCCAATCCTGCCCCAGAGGAAACGCCAGAACTGCAAGGAAGAAGTGACCCAAGAGTAGACCACATGTGGACTAAGGTGGCCAAGAGCTTGGGGACTGAGTGCACAGGCTCTAGGACCAGAGGATCACTTACTGGCCAGGAGGCCTTGGGACACTCTTCTGTGCCTCAACCTTCTCAATCTCAGTCTCAGAAACAGCCAGTACTTCACAGGGCTGACAACCCCACACACGCTGAACAACATCTGACACAGTGTAAGCTCTCAACAGAGTTGTTCTTAAGTGCCGTCGAGTTGGTTCCGACTCATAGAGGCACTGTATAGGTTCCCAAGGAGTGGTATGTGTGCTTGAACCACCGACCTTGTGGTCCAAACCAACTCTGCAGTCCAGTGCAGTAACCCACAGTGCCACACCATGACTCCATAGAGGAGCAGCTATCAATATCTGGGTGACCCAAGCAGTTGAGCACATGCTGCACACTCAGAGACACCACTAACCAAAAAGGTTGGCAGTTTAAATCCACCTAGCGGTGCCTCAGAAGAAAAGTCTGGCCATCTGCTTCCAAAAGGTCACAGCTATGAACACCCTATGGAGCCCAATTCTACTCTGCATGCATGAGGGCGCCACGTCATTACTGCGATGACGGTGATGAATCACTGCAGAGGCAGGCAGGCCTGGACAGCAGCAAGCCACAAGGCCTATGGCAGAGGCCAGCCCAGGAGCTACCCGGCCTGGACAAGTTGATGAATGGAAAGGCACTCACCTTGGTGGGAGTTGGGGCTGGCGAGCTGTCTGGCAGCGTGCCCCGCCCCGCAGTGTCCGATGGCAGACACTTGAAGGTGCACTCTTCCTGCTTTGGGTTCATTCGCCGCTGCAGAGACGCCCTGTATTCAGACACCACTACCGAGGGCCAGGGGGTGGGGCAGAGAACACAGACAACATGGAGTGAGAGGGACTTTGGGGGTGGGGGGGGGGCCTTCCACCACGCTCCACCCACTACTGCAGGAAAGAGTCGGCCTCAAACTCTGAGTCAATCACTGAACTTCTCTCCGCCTCAGAAACAACGGCAGGACACCACCCCCTCCATTGCCCATGAGGCTGTCACAGACGTTAAATGAGGGGAAGGAAGAAACGCACTGAGCACGTATGGCCAGTGCCTGGCACATAGGAAGTGCCTGGGAGTCCAGTCCACAGGGTAGGAAATGGCCTCTAGGCCTCAGGCCCTGTCCAGATAGCCTGGCTGCTTCAGAATCCAGACAGCAGGTGGCTCTTCTGCTCACAGAGCTATGGCAGCAACTCCAGGGGCTGCGGCCTGGGGCTGGGGAATAGCATTGGGAAAACACCCCTCCCTCACCTCCCAGAAGCTACCATATCATATAAGCACTGAATCATCTGCTTTGGCAAGTGAGAGAGGACCCCTACAACAGCAGCCTCCTGTATTCTCCACCTACATCCCAGAAATGCAAAGCCCACTGGAGGCCTCTAAGAGGGAGTAGCCTAGTGTGGTGCTGCCCCCTTGTGGCAGACGCAGCAAACACATCTCTTATCAGTGGAGACAATGAATGGGGGAGCCAGACCAAGCTGCCTGGACCCCACTTCTGCCGGGTTCTCCAGGACTTACCTCGGAAGAACTCCACATTCCCCAGGAAGAGTGTGCTGTTCAAAAGGGCAAGGACCCAACACAGCGGCAGCAGATACAGCATGCACACTGCGCCCAGAAGAGCCCCATAAAACCTGATTGACAGAGAAGAACCACAGCATTACAGCATCCTGGACCTGAAGGAAATGGGTCTGGAGCACATCTACATAGGGTCCGGCAAAGAAGAGCTACAGGCACAGGGAATCAGGCAGCACAACCAGCTAATCACACCGATGGACGCAGCGTTGATGAGGAACGCTTTATGTCTACCAGCAAGCCATTGGCTGCTAACACGCAGTGCTGCTGAGGCCACACAGTCCTGTTCTGAGGCTGGGGCAGCCGGTCCACCCCTCATCACGCGTCAGGTCCTAGACTCTGAGTCCAGAATAAGACAGACTTGGATATGAATCCTGCTGGGCCACTTGTCACTGTGTGACCTCAGATTCTCTGAGCTGTACCTCATTTGTGTGTGAAATGGTTAATTACCAGTATCTTCCTCCTAGAGCTAATATGAAGAGACACCATGTGCACGGTGAAGACTAGACAGATAGGAGTTGTTATTATTAGTCATATAAAAAGAGCCTCAACCCATTTGATCCAGTAGTTTCATCCTTGAATTAAGTCTAAGAAAAAAATTTCAAAAAGAGAAAGCTAAACACTGCAGGTTAATAATGAAAAGCAGAAACTGATGAAGTGTTTCCCTAAAGGAAAGCCCAGTAACACTATTAAATATACTGAAGTTCCTCCATCTGGCATTACAAACACAGGAAAACCTGGGGAAGCCAGAACCTGTGTGGAAGAAAACCTGTCAGAGAAGGAAAACTCAAGTCCTTCCCACAAAAACGAGCAGCAAAAAGTGATTAAGACTGCATGCACCCTGTTAAAGGCGGGAAACCTGCCAAACCTGGAAAAGTCAGGCAGCCCCACTGAGCTCTCATTCTCACAGGCGTCATTTTAATTCCAGAGGAAACTATATATGCTAAGTGAAAACAATCTCTCCTAAGACTAGGAAGCTTATGTCTATAAAAAGTCTATGCTATAACCAAGCTAGGGAGCCAATCAGGTAGGAAACCAGCTGCTACAGCAGCGCAGCAAACCACATGTGAGTTCTCTGTCGTCTGTAGACCTTTCTATCACAGGTAGTCCCCGACTTGCAATGAGGTTCTATTCTGACAACTCTGTCATAAGTCAATTCTGACATTAAGTTAAGCAGCTTTTTTTTAAAAAAAGCTTTCATTATTATTGCCTTGTACTATCCGTATCTTCATAAATCCCATCTTTGAACATCTGGGAGAAAACATCCGAGAATAACATCAGCACATGACATGCTGCTGCACGCAGTACATATTACTGATGGTAAAATGTACACCAAAACCCAGATGGTTGTAAATGTAGTCATCATAACTCAAATCCATCATAAGTCAGGCACTTCCTGAACTGAAAGTTTAACCACACAGGAAAGCAAGTAGTGCATTAGAGCCCACAACATATGCACAGAGGGGCACCCAAGAGCCTAGGAGACTCCTTCACCTGAGGTGGGAGGAGTGGGGGGGGGGGGGCACAGGCACTCACTGTGAGGACACGATGGGGTTCTCCCAGTGCAGCACGCGGTAGGCGGCTTCACAGGTGCAGCACAGACGGCTCAGAAAGGCCTCCAGCTGGATCAAACTAGACACAGGGGGCACCTGTGAGCTGACGAGCACTTCCCCACCCAACCGCCCACCCATCCGCACACCCTGAGAGACACTCTGGGGCTCCACATCAACTGGCTAGGGACGGCCTGCTCTCTTCAAACACACTAGGAGACCCAGAGGCACACTGGAAGAAAGGGGCCTGGCCAAACCAACCCCACTCATACATATTAGTCCCCTTTTTAGAGCCCCGACTTTGAGGTAAGGAAGCCCTGGTGGTTTCAAGGTTAAAGCACTGGGCTGCTAATCAAAAGAACAGAGGTTCAAACCCACCACTCTACAGGAGAAAGATGTGGCCGTCAGCTCCCGTAAAGATTTACGGCGCTGGAAACCCCATGGGGCACTTCTGCCCCATCCTACCCCATGTTACAAGTGGGCTTGGATTTGGCACTCTGCGGTGGGGGAGGAGCACAGTGGTTCCTGCTTTGGTCTCTTTCTACCTGCTGATGGTGAGCCGGCTCCTCAACCATCCCAGGGCTGCAGCTTCCTGAGTTCTGTGAGGACAGCAGGAAGCTCTGCCCACCCCCTCCCATTCCCAGGGACCCAGGCAGCTGTGAGGATTAAATGGGAGGATGCAGACCAAGAACGGCAGCCTGGTTCTCAAGGTGATAAAAATCTGAATCACTAAGAGGGAGTTCTTGTTAAACACAGATGCACCCCTGAAGCAATGAGAACATCTGTAGCCAGTTCTTCGCTTCTGAAGGGCTCCTTGAAGAAAATACTGGTTCTATACACGCGCTAGAGAGTTCACACACGCTGGCATGGCTGACAGGGCAGGCAATATACAACCAGAGAGAGGAGGTTGACAGAGGAAAGCTGGGGGTGGTGGGAGACACAGGGAGGAATGCAGTGGTTGGAGAGAACAGAGGTAAATGCTCTTAACTACTGGTGCAGAGAGGGGATTGCAACCATAGAATGAAGCAAAGTATAGGACTTGTTGAATGTAAAACTGATGATCTGCTCTGTAAACCTTCACTCAGTTCACAATAAAAAGCTTAAAAAAAATAAAAGACTAGTTCTAGGACTGAACCAGGGAAAACGTAAATGTACTATTGTGCTGGAAAGTTAAGGAAACACACAAAAATAGTGGGGACATACTGAAAGAACAAGAGCCAGCTTGAAAAAGCTTCTACTGCACCAATCTGGACGAACAGATCAATCTGGAGAATGTTGTTACTGCTGTTAAGTGCCGACTCTAGTGATCCCTGAACAGACTTTCCAAGGGGCAGATGGTGGGTTTACATTGTCAACTGAAATTTCAGTTAGCAGTCCAATGATGGATTATAAACCACTGAATAAAACCAAAATCTTTTAGTTCATACTGATAACAGATAACAAAAAGCTCTTTTTTTTTACAGAATGCCAGCTCATAAATACAGATGGAATGATAGTTACAAAACCCCCTTTGCAACCATCATAGTAATAAACTGATTCACACAAGCTTCCTCAATGGATTTTTAAAGAGGTGGGTGACTAACAACAGATATTACAGGGCTAATCTGAACCAACATTATTTAAGCAGCTGAAAGAGTACTCTCAAAGGGCAAAACCCTTGGGAATTCCCGACTCAAAACAAGAACCAAGTTTTGAGGGAAAAAAAAAGACTTGATAATGAATGGCTGAAACAGGATGAAGAAAGTTCTGGCCAAAGTAATTTCACATGACTCGAAGGAACAGGTGCCACGCAGCAGAGTTTCTCATCTAAGTAACCGTATTCAAGGGGTTTTTGAAAGAGTTTAAGACCAAGACAAAGTATTGAGATATGAGAGAAGTTCAAAAAAAGTTTGATGAAATATAAGGCATTTACAGTTTCAAAAGCTCTCCTCTCAGACTATAACTAAAAAGGATATAAGTACTAAACAGGTCAGCTGACAGTGGAGAAGCTTTAACCATGTGATCCAAGTCAGCATCTCCCATAATGAGGTCTTGAGATCATGTGCCTTCTAACACGATGCAATAGCAAAGACAAACTCTCACTTGTCATATTCCTGACCGAAATGTAGAACCTGAAGTTAATGAGGAACCTAACAAAGGTCAAATGTGAATCGGGCTGCTAACCTCAGGGTCAGCAGTTCGAAACTACCAGCTGTTCCGCGGGAGAAAGATGAGGCTTTCTGCTCCCATAAAGACTTATAGCCTCGGAAACCCTGTACAGGATCGCTATGAGTTGGAACCAACTCCACGGCACATAACAACAACAACAACAAAGAATAAGCTTGTGAGTATCAAAAAGATGTGTAAGTCATGGGAAACAAAACCTGAGAACTACTCCAGGTTGAAGAGGCTAAAACCAGCTGCTGTTGATTCTGACGCACGAGGCCCCCATGGGTGTCAGATTAGAAGTGTGCTCCACAGGGTTTCCCTGGCTGACTCTGCAGTGCACGCAAACCCATAACCTTTCAGGTAGCAGCCGAGTGCATTAACCATTTGCATCACCTGGGGGCTCCTCAAGAAGATTAGTAAGACTTAAGGTCTATATGAAATGTTACGATTTGGGATTGGATCACGAATCGGAAGAAACTGATATATAAATTTATTAAAACAACTTGCAAGTTTTAATTCTGAATTGACTGTAGGCCACAAGGTCAGTGGTTCGATCCCACCAGCCACCCCATAGGAGTGAGATGAGGCTTCCTGATCTTGCAGAGTTCCAGCCTCAGAAATCCTATGCAGGACTGCTGAGTGAGAACCAACTCCACAGCATATTATATAACAGTACTAATGCCATGTAAGGGACTCCGGTAATGCAGCAGTCCGAGTCAGGCTGCTAGCCTCACGGTCAGCAGTTCTAAACTATCAGCTGTTCTGCAGGAGAAACATGAGGCTTTCTGCTCCCATAAGATTTACAGCCTCGGAAACCCTATGCAAGGTTGATAGGAGTCGAAACCAACTCCACAGCACACCACCACAATGTCCCTGCGTGGCACAGATGGTGAAGTGCTGGACACTAACTAAAAGGTTGGTGATTCAAACCCACCTAGAGGTGCCTCAGAAGTAAAGCCTGGAGATTGACTACCAATAGGTCACAGCTTGAAAACCCTATAGAGCAGTTCTCCTCTGTAGACCTGGGATTGGCAGGAGTCGGGATGGACGCCGACAACCAACACCATTCATATTACCAATGTTCAATTTCCTTGTTTTGATCACTGTACTGTGGATACATAAGAGACTGTCCTTGTTCTAAGGAAATAAGAACTGGCGTATCTGGGATAAATGGGCGTAATGTTTGTAACTTACTTTCAAATGATTCAGGAAAAAGAAAATAATGTGTATATGGAGTCAGAGATAAAGCCAGTGTGGCAAAATGTTAACAATAGTTTTATCAGGGCAAAGGGCATACGGGAGTTCTCTGGATCATTCTTGTAACGCTTCTGCAAGTTTGAAATCACTTCAAAGCTAAAAAAAAAGAAAACAGATATCTAGGTCCACTCCATATAACTGACTCAGAATCTCTAGATGGGGCCAGGCATCTGTCCATCCCTCTAACTTTTTCTGAAGCCTCTGATGCCCGGGAAGGGCTGCCAACTCCTGCTGTGTGTCGAGAGGCTGCGGACAGCCTGGCCCAGAGAAGGGCTCAGGAAGGACCAGAGGCCATGGAAACTGCTACAGTTTCCATTATTCAATGCTCTGAAAATGTTTCCTCCAAAGTACCGGCTCTGTCAGATTTAGGCAGTTTCTCCACAGCATAGTACCGATGGCTAATATTTATTGAATACTTCCTACATGCCACCCTATAAGGTAAGCCCTATTATTACCCTAGTTAACAGATGAAGAACCTGAGTGACTGGCAGGCTACGCAATTTGCCCAACATTACACAGCGATTAAATGGTAGGGCTGGGATTTGAACTCAGGTAAGCTGGCTCAGACATGCCATGCTTAGCTGAGATCCTCTACTATCTCTCTAGTGGAAAAAAACACAAACCGTGAACTTGGCTAGATCTGGATTCTCTTCCCAGCTGGGTCACTTCCTAGTTGCATGAGCCTTTTCCTCATCTATAAACGAGGATAATAATAGGAGCTCCCGCCCAGAACGGTTACAAAGATTAAATGAAGGAACAGCTACAGTGTCTGCTGCACAGCATGAACTTCTGTGGTAACTTCTATTATTGCTATTACTGGCCCCCACCTGGTGGACCGACCGCTTTTCCTACTCACAAGCTCTTCACTTCAGCCACCGCCTCAGGGCGAGACAGGCGCACCCTCTGTAGGTCCTCCTGCCTCACGCTGTGATACTTCCTCCGCATCAGCTCCGACTCAGGCAGCCGGGCGCGGCACACCTCCTGAAGGTAGCCCAGCAAGGCAGGCACAGAAATCAACAGGGCACCCACCGAGTACCATGCTCCTATGGGGTCAAAAACACTGCAGGTGAAACAGGCAGGTGAGGACCCAGAGACTCCGATCACGTACTCCTTCACCTCCTCCAGGACTATATCCAGGGGGCTTCCCCATACCAAAGTCTCACCCTTCACAGCACTTACCACATGACAGTAGGTTTGCTCACTGTCTCCTCCACTAACCTAGGTTCTTGAGGACTGAGGCTTTGTCCTTTTGGCCACTGCTATAGCCCCAAGCCCTAAGGAGCTCTGGTAGTATAGTGGTTATGAATCTGGCTGCTAACCTCAAGGTCGGCAGTTTGAAACTACCAGCCATTCCATGAAAGATGAGGCTTTCTGCTCCTGTAAAGATTTACAGCCTTGGAAACCCTATGCAGGGTACTATGAGTCAGATACGAATCCATGGCACATAACAACAACATAGCCCCAACCCCTAGAATAGTGAGAGCACACAGCGGGCACTCATGCGTGGAGGCTACTCCCCAGCAGAAGGGGCTCCTCCAGCAGAACAGAAGCCTTGTCTTTGGCTTTGATGCTACCACATGCCATTGTGCGATTGAGAAATGGTGAGGCTGAGAGGAAATTCCAAGAAATTCCATCTAACATGGTCCCCCATATGACAGCTAACAGAGCCCTGGGCTCACAGTAAATGCTTGTTAAGTATCTGCCAGGAGAACTGATTTGTTTTGGAAATGTATTCAAAAATTCAAATCGCCTGGGAAGACCCCCCCTGAGTTTTGTTCAGGCAAAGAATCCCACTAAGAAATGGAAGTGACCTCGTATGGACTGGATCTACTTTCATCCCACTGGTCCTTATCGCAGTAAGCACTAAATGAGACACTGGAGAAATGGCAGCCCAACAGAAGAATGAGGTGAGTCCAGGAGCCAGCTCTTCAGACACTCTCCCAGCCTCTCCACTCACTGCTTACCAGGGGTGAGCTTGGCTGGCAGGCAAAGGGCTGGGTCCCAGCACACATTGTAATAAAATGCCCACAGGAGCCACAACTACCTAGGATGACCTAGGAGCTTGAAGAAACCCACCCACCTGCCCAGTAGCCCCCTCCTGGCTCTCTTGCCGAACCAGAAAAAAATCAATAATATGACAAAAATCTCTCAACAGCTCATCTTGCTGGTACTCTTACCCCATTTGTGCCCCCAGATGATCCAGATTCAGTTTGAAAATGGTCAGTGGATAGCAGCAAATGCAATTGGTCCAGCTGCAACAGTGTGTCCATAAGAGAGCAACAACAATACTGATATCCTAATAGCTATAACACATAGTTCCTGACTCTGCTTCAGGCACTGTGTAAAGTGCTTTACACACATGATCTCATTTCCTCCTCACTGCTGCTACAACTTGGAAACCCTATACAGGATCACTACGAACAGGAACCAACTGGACAACAATTAACAACCACCACCACCACCCACCCACCCTACGGGGAGTCCTGGTGTGATGCTGCTGATTTAAGGCGCTGGACTGCAAGGTTGGTTTGAACTGTAAGGTCGGTGGTTCAAGCTCACTAGCCACTACCTGGAAACCCTATATAGGGTCACTATGAGTCAGAACCGTCTCGATGGCACTTAACAACAACAATGACACCTACCCTATGGTGTCCTGATGTGGGTGGGAAAAAGCACTGGGCCACAAGGTCAGTTTGGACCACTGGGTCAACAATTCAAACTCACCAGCTGCTCCTGGGAAACACAATACAGAGTCGCTATGAATCAGAGCCGACTCAATTGCACTTACCACCACCAGCTACCCTATGAGGAAAGCACTGTAATTCTCCTACCTGGAGAGCGAAGGAAATTTTGGCTTCACAGATAGGTTGAAGAACTTACCAAGGTCATACCAGTGGCCAGCCAGGGTCTTACCCCAGGGCACATCCCAGAATCTGTGTTCTGACAAGCAGACACAGAGGGAGGCTACCTCCCTCACATTCATTCACCAAGACCTCTCAGTCTTGCAAGCAGTTCTAACTTACCCTCATTCAAAGTGAGCAACAAGATGTTGAGGCCCAGGCAGGTCAGCAAGGAACACAGAGGCGTCTGCCACCTACAACACAGAAAGTCCTGATCACCAAAGACAGCCGCTCCTGGTGCTAGGAAAAGGGGAGGTGTGTCATCAAAACCAGAATGAAGAGGCAGCAGGGACCCAGAAGGTCAAGGAGAAATCAACAGTGGACCTCTCACTTAGGTGACCAGGAAGGGGTTAAGAGGTCACATACTAGCCCCTGGGGTGAGGAAAAGTATCCTCTCAGAACCAGACCTGTAGAACTTTCTTCCAGGAGGAAAACCCCAATTAACACTGCTTAATGGTATTTTGTTAGGGTCTACGTTTCCTCTTGAAGTCCTGGTGTGGCGTTACAGGTTAAGGCGCTGGACTGTACAGTTGGTTTGAACCACAAGGTTGGCGATTCAAGCTCACCAGCTGCTCCTCGCAAACCCTTTATAGGATCACTATGGATCGGAACCGGATAATGGCACTTAACAACAACAACAACATTTCCTCTTTAGGAGTCCTGGTGTGGTGCTATAAGGTACACACTGGACTGAAAGGTTTGTAGTTCAAACCCACCAGCTGCTTCTCAGAAACCCTCTACAGTGGGGTGGTGAACATCTGGCCCTCGGGTCACATAAAGCCTGAGAAATCATCTGGTCTGGCCCTGTCAAGACAACCGCAGTTCCATCACACTGTGGTTGTTGTGGTTAAGCGCCATCAAGCTGGTTCCGACTCACAGCAACTCTGTGAGTTAATTAAATGTTTGACCAAATAAAGCAGGCTAATTTTTATGTTGATAACTTTGTATGGCTTGTAAATGATATCACAAATTTTAGCAGAAAAAAGTTCCCACCCCTCTTCTACACTGTCACTGAGCTGGAACCGACTTGACAGCACTTAACTACAACATGTTCCCTTTAAGAAGTTAAGCTGATAAACGTTCTCATTTTTATATTCGATTTATTCTTTTAACATCAACAAGTAATAAATGAGCACAGACTCATATACCAGGTTGATTAAAGAACCAAATGTGAAGGGCTTCTCTGACAGTATTAATAACTTTCTCTTCTATGTCGGTCACTGGAGAGCTTACAGTGACGTAAATGAACTCATAAGGAGATACAACAATAAAGGTTTCAATGTATTTAGAAATGAAGACAAAAGCAGGGTGGGTGTGACATTCACTCAGCAAACACACCCTGAGTGAACTATAACAGATGGACACATACCCCAGCCCCCACCCCACCATTACCACCATCCAAAGGCAGAGACGGGGATAAAAGGGCATGGGGGCTCCTGCAGCCACTGCAGGCTTAGTCCCTGAGAAGGGCCTTTAGTAGGGAAAGTGGGACACAGACCTAACAATGACCATCCTAAGAGCAGTGCCCCTATCAGAGGAGGAGGGCAGCTATCAGAACACGATACAGACAAGTTGCTGGCAAGCAATGCAGTCGGTACTTAAGAGTGTATTTGTTGGCTCTAACTGGGGTATTTCAAGTTACTAAAGTGAAGTTAGCTAATTTAGGTACTGCTTTGTTTTTTTAATAAGAGTTACGAGTGAGGGGATAAAAATGGCACCTGTACCACCTCCTAAGAGGCCTCAGAACCATCTGATGGCAACTCCCAGGCAAAAACAAGTCAAATCTACAGTCAATCCCATTTCAGAGAGAAAAACATCACAAAGCCACCATGGAGACGCTTTAATTTTTGAAACCTCTTCTGTTCAAGGCCACCCACCCACTGTTAATAGTTGATCTAGAAGAGAGGGATCTTTTAAAAAGTACCACCAGCGTCATGCTTTAGACCTAATAGCCAAAGCCCAAGATTAGGTTCCTCGTCAAAGTCAAATCCTCTTTACTAAGAAAGGAACAATCAAGCAAACTGCCTAAACTTACAGCCATGTTCAGACCAGTGTTTCTCTCCCAGCGGCCCAGGGCTTTTCAGGTCCAATACTAGGAGCTCCTCCTTCCAGCTTTAATCAAGCCTACCATATCCCCAGATTTCTAACGCTCATAAATTGGGAAAACCCTAGCATATTAATGTAGGCAAAAAACCACAGTAGACCAATAGCAACAAAGGAGAACAGAAAGATATATTCAACTTTTGAATATCTGGGTGCTCCCCAGAGCCCACCCACTCCCCTAAGGAAGTTCATTCCAGCCAGGTGGTCATGCTGGAATCTTAAAGAAAAAATGGACCCCTCTTCACATCTTCACATCATCTGCCCACTCCTCTGTTCAGAGCTCAGTGATCTAATTGTGGAGACCACCACTTTGAAATAGTGGCTAGCCCATTTCCCAGATCCTGCCAAACATTAAAGGGGTTCTAGAGTGCACAGACAGACAGGGTCAGAGAAAAAGAGGAAGACCCCCAGCAAGATGGATTGGCAAAGTGGCAGCATCAATGGGCTCAAGCATGGCAACAATTGCCAGGATCGGGCAGTGTTTCATTCTGTTGTGCATATGGTCGCTATGAGTCGGTATTGACTTGATGGCACCTAACAACAACAAAATGTTTACAGAGGAGCCCTGGTGGTATAGTGGGTTAAGCATTTGGCTGCTAATCACAAGATTGGCAGTTCAAATCCATCAGCTCTTCAGAGGGAGAAAGATGAGGCTTTCTGCTCCCATAAAGTTAGGAAACTCCATGTGGCAGTTCTACTCATCCTGTAGGGTCACTATGAATTAGAATCAACGTTGGAATGTATGGAGGAGTCTACGGAGCACAGTGATTAACTTGTCTGGGTGCCAAAAAAAAGGTCAGCAAGTCACACCTCCAGGAGAAAGATGTGGCAGTCTGCTTCTGTAAAGATTTAGTTTCAGAAATGCTATGGGACAGAGTTCTACTCTGTTGTAAAGGATTGCTGTAAGTCAGAATCAATTCAACATCAGTAGGTTTGGTTTTTAAGTTTGGAGCGTAAAGGAAAAAGAGTATGTTAGAGCCTTGATCAGAGTTAAACTGCCAACTATTTTCCAGACGAAGGCAGGATAACCACAACTCAAGCCCCCTAGAGGCTAGCTGGACTCTACCACCAGCCTGCCTCCCACCAGCCTCTCTACAGCATCTCAGAGGGCTGAAGGACTCTGATAAAAACTAGAAGCCTCTCCATAGAAATGTACACACCAATTTTATACGCAGTACCTGGGGATTCAGTGTGGCACTGTAGGGTAATGCACTAGGCTGCAAGGTCAGTTTGAACCACAATGTTGGCAATTCAAATTCACCAACTGCTCCTCGGAAACCCTATACAGGGTCACTGTGAGTCAGAATCAACTCGACGGCACATAACAACAACAACAAACCTAAAGTCTACCCACAGACTCCAAGTTAAGAACCCTTGCTTTTTAAGACAACCAGGTTTTATGGGACTCCTAAAGGGATACAATGTTAGACACATAGCATCACCTTTGCAAAAAAAAAAAAAAAAGTTTAAAACCAATCCAATCTTTAAATCTATAGTTTTCACTGTGAGGATGCAACCAGACCAATCTAGGTATAAAATGGTTCAGGACAGTGATTCGGTCTCTTCAGCAAATCAGTGTCATGAAAGAAGAGACGTATTTCAGATTGACAGAGCCTTGAGGAAAAATCACATATGCGGTACTATGTATATGTGCAGTACTGGACTAAACCTGGTTTGGCCAAAACAACTATAACTCATATTCTTGAGACAACTAAGGAGAGCTAAGTAGGAGTATAAAATGGCATGACGGGATTATTTTGTTCAGCACAACGTTTGCTTGTAAAAGAAAATGTCCTACTATTCAGAGATGCAAACTGAAATATTTAGGGAATGGCAGAGTGTATCTGTAATTTGAAATGCTTGAACATAAAAAACAAAGCAAAATGAAAGGAGAAATTACTGAAAATAAAAATCAAAGCACAATAGGAATAAAAAAGGTTGAACTCCAAAGGATTAGTTATAATGGTACTCATAGGTATTAACATTTCTTTATGCTTACTCATAGGTATCAACATTTCTTTAATTTTTGCTCAAAATTATATCCTAACTTCATTAGTAATTATGCTAACATTGGGAAAGACCAAAAACTATAGAAGAATGAATGAAATGAGTTCAAGGCCAGCTAGCAATCTTGGGGGAGGAGTCTGTTCAGTCACAAAGAAGAAACCCTGTGAAAACCAGATCCTTCCCTGGCCCTGTCTCACCTGGGCTTCATCAAAGATCAGCAATGGGCCTGGAATAGACCGGGATTCCTGAAGTGCTCTACAGGAAGTCAACCCAGGTACATGGGACCACCCAGAACTGCTTCTCTCAAGGGAAGAAAGGACAGCCCAGCCACTGTCTAAATGACCCGCAACCTACACACAAACAGAAGCTGGAAGGTCCTGCAGACCAGCACAACTGAAGTCTATACCTGAGCAAGTACCGGACTCCATCACCAGCATCCTTCAGGGGTTCCAGGTAGATCTCCAGTCTCTTGTAGGACAGAACCAGGTTGAAAAGATCAAATGCTGGGGGCTTGTTCGGGGCAGGTGAAGACTCTGGGGGAGCCTCAGGCATCACGCTGGGGCTCACTTCTGGCCCACTCCCCTCACGATCCAATGTCTGCATTCTGTAACCAGAATTTCTGATGTTCACTTGGCACTTCCAGCCCCAACACATTTTGATTTGTGCTATTTCATGTGGTGTCCATAAGAAAACTGTGGGATAGGCAGGGCTGCAGGTAGGACACCCATTTTACAGAGGAGGAAACTGTAGTTCAGCAATGGAAAATTAATGACCTAGATCTAAATCCTGTCTTTCTGTATGATTCCATACTCAACGCTCTTCCCCCACCACAGACTCATCAAGAGTATATGGAATAAAATCCAAGCATATGTGTTTGCTAGGGAAGGCATCTTGGGGTTCCAACTGAAATGATCTCCTGGAATAGTTTCCCTGACTCCTTACTAAGTTAATTCCTGCGCACCCTTCAGGTCTTGGCTTAAATATCATTACTCTTTCCCAACACTCAGAGTCTGGCCTGGGAGACCCTCCCCCAATGAACCCTGTACTCACCCTAAGCACTAACCACACAAACTTAAAACTCTTGCTGTCTTGCCCAATTCTTTATTTAACGTTGAGCTCCATGAAGTCAAAGCCTGCATTCTGCATTCACCCGTGTGTATGCATGGAGTGGGCACTCAAGAAATACTTGCAGACTGAGTAAGTAAATGCACCAGTCACTCCTCAAGTCTCTGGGTTTTCTCCTATCCCACCCCATTCTCTCACCAGTCGCTCCTTGGAAACCCTATACAGGGTCGCTATCGGTCGGATTCAACTCATCGGCACTTAACAACAACAACAACCCCATTCTCTAACATTTCCTACTCCCATCGGTTCCTCGGGAGCCCCAACAACTTCCTGGGCCATCCCTGCCCATCACCTCATCCTTTCCCTCATTATACCCTGCTGGGGCAGCTATCACATTCCCTAAAGCCCCATTCCCATCTCCCTTTCCTAATGAAATGAGCTGTAGGAACCCTCACCCTCTTTCCTAATTTCAAGAATGCCAAGTAGAAAACCAAGGCAACCGGCTACATAAAGCAGTCCCAGGCACTAGGCTGCGATCTGAGAGGCGGGCTGGCAAAGGTGCCACCAGGGGCCCGACATCCCCATGGTCGGAGACAGAGTGAAAGGGCCCAGAGCGGACGTGAGGTCGGAACACTGGAGCAAATGAAGCAGTCCCCGCCGCCAGGGGCCTTGATCACTATTTCCGCCGCTCCAGGAGCCCGAAGAAGACCCCCGCAACCCTGACCTGGGAAGGCCACGCCCAAGGTCGCTATGCCTGCAGGTGGCAGCCCCCGCGGCGTCTAGGCTCCTAGCAAAGCAGACACGGGGGCGGGGAGGGGGTGGTGCCTCACCTACCCGGGTTCAGGACTGCTGGATGGGGAGGGGTGGGGACGGCCGGGGGCACCAGTAGGGCCACTGGGCCCCGGAGCGTTTCCTCAGGCCCGCCCCACCCCGACGCCGTGCCTCCTCCAAAGCGGTTCAGACACCAGAGATCCCAAATATTCCCCCGCCTCCTCCTCCTCCGCCGCCGCCGCCGCCGCTTCCGGGACCCGAATCACTCTACGGCGCGTGCCCGTGATGTCATCGCGCCCGCCCCGCCTCCGGTCCTGGCCCAGCTCCCGGGGTTTAGCTCCGCCCGCTCTTCTACAGGTGAGGGCGCTCATCACCAGAGCGCCTGCGCCCTTCTCTTCTATAGCCTGAAGCTGTTTTAACTCTGTCGGAGCCGCGTGGTAATTCGTTAAATCCTGCGGAGCCCTGAGAGCACGCACTTGGAAACCTTGCATCTTGCTTCTTTTGTCTCGCACTGAAAGACCCCGGTGGGGAACAGTTGGAAAGAAGCTAAACTGAACTATTTATGTCTCCATTCTCTTTCCCTCCCCCTTAACTTGAGTTCACCTTGTTGTCACCCATCCCTAGCAGAAAATTCAATTCCATTCAATGTTTACTGAGAAGCTATTATGTAAAAGGTCCCCCCGCTTACCCTTCCCCACTCAATCCTCTGCATACCGTATTGCCAAATTAATCTCCCTCAAAGCACGTATCTGGTTGCTTTGCATTAATAATAGCAGCATATCTTTACTGAGGGCTTACCAGACACTAGTCACTGGACCAATCAACATTATTTTAAATGTTTTATTGTGAATTATGTGATAGTTTACCGGGGAGAACATTAGTTTTACATTCAACCTATCTATATGTAGTGGTTACGAATCGGGCTGCGAACCTTAAGGTCAGCGGTTCGAAACTACCAGCCGCTCCGCGGGAGAAAGATGAGGCTTTCTACTCCCGTAAAGATTTACACCCTCGGAAACCCTGTATAGGGTCGCTATTGGTCGGAACCGACTCGATGGCACTTAACAACAACAACATATGTTTCATTGCCATGGTTACAATCCCCTCCATGCATCATCAACCAACCAAAGGGTATACCCTGTAAGCCTGTCCCCCACCCCCACCCCCAGTCAGCACACAGCCCCTCTCCCTCTCTGGGTCCAAAGTCCCCATCTCTCCAAGTCATCAGTCATCATCTCTGCCTCCATCTCTGGCTTCATTGCTTCTCTGGGTAGGGTCCCGCTCTCTGCTCTTCTCCCTTGATGGACCCAGGTACCTCTGCTCCTAGACTGCAAAAGTTAATCACGCCCCTCCTTTTGCTACAAAATGTCTACTTTTACATTTCCAACCCTCACAATCTGTCCTGATAACAATTATTCACTATTGTATCACATCTCCTTTCATTAGCCCCGCCTAGACAGATTGGTTACTACTCAATGGAGATTCTACCTTCCTCCATGCCCTCTGGATCTAGGATCCCTCTTGAAAACTTGTAAGCCAGTCCCTTCTTGCCTTTGAAGCCCCACCATTTTGGGTAGCCAATGTCCAAGTTGCCCTTCCCTGTCTACTCTGTGTATGGAGGGGGTGGAAATGTTCCTTGCTGTAAAGATTTGTTCCTTCTTTTGAGCTACTGCATCCATAGGTGTATGTCAAGTTCATCAAATTGTATCAGATTACTCTTTTTTTATCTTCTTTCTTCTTCTAGTTGAGCTCTGATCATCCAATCATTGAAGCCAGGTCAAGTGGGTATTATCTGCAAGTGTGGGTGTTCTTGTGCATATGCTTTCTCTTCTTATCAGCTGGATGCTTCACTCTCCACTCTAGTCCTCTGTGGCTATGTCACTGACTCTGAACCCAAGAGTCCCCAGGTCTTGCCACACTGCTGGCCAACCAGGTCTCTACCAGCAGTCAAGAAATCAAAAGATGTATTGCATTTGGTAAATCTGCTGCACAAGACCTTTTTAAAGTGTTGATGAGCAAAAATGTCAGTTTGAGGACTAAGGTACGTTTGACCCAAGCCATAGTATTTTCAATAAGTTCACATGCATGCAAAAGCTGAGCAGTGAATAAGGAAGACAGTAAAAGAATTGATACATTTGAGTTATGGTGTTGGAAGAGATCATTGAAAGTGCCATGAGCTGCCAAAAGAACCAACAGATCTGTGTTGGAAGTGCAGCCAGAGTGCTTCTTGGTGGCCAGAATGGCCAAAGTTTGTCTCTCATACATCAGACGTATTGTCACGAGGGACCAGTCACTGGAGAGGGATATCATGTTTGGTAAGGTAGAGTGTCAGAGAAAAAGAGGAAGACCCCCAGCAAGATGGATTGGCAAGGTGGCAGCATCAATGGACTCAAGTGTGGCAACAATTGTGTGGTTAGTTCAGGACCGGGCAGTGTTTCGTTCTGTTGTACATAGCAGAAAATTCCCTATCAGTCACTATGAGTCAGTACCGACTCCATGGCACCTAACAACAACAACAAGCCACTGGACTATGTGCTCTGTCCGCTTATCTAGTCTTCTTCCAACAACCTTACTAAGGTTAGCACTGTTTTACAGATAGGAATCTGAGGCACTTTAAGGAACTTACTCAATATCACATAGCTAGTAAACAATCGGAATCTAGTATTTGAACTTCATGTCCTCTGGCCCCAGGACTCCCAAACATACCACCACACACCTTCATCTGCATTCTGGCCTTCCCGTTCTCCTCCTGTCAGGAGGCTTTTAACCACAGCCAACCTGAACCTGTCTGACCCTTCTTACCTTCAAATGCTCCTGAATCCCCTACTTGTCTGGGAGCTCCAATGGAAAAGCCCTTCCCCTGCACTTGTTCCTGTCTAAATCCAACTCACTCCTTTAAGCAGGAATCAAAGGTCTATACATCTTCCCTGATGGCCTCAGATGGTAGGTAGTAACACCCGCTCCACCAAATAGCCATAGAGTATTCCTAGGGCATCTCTTCCTACAAATAACTCCTGGCCAAAAAGTAGGTGCCCACCTTGCATCCTGGTGTGGCTCTGTGGGATAATGCATTGGACTGTAAAGCTGGTTCAAATTCACCAGCTGCTCCTCAGAAACCCTCTACAGGGTCACTATGAGTCCAGGCTTCAGGAGTCAGCTGTGTGTGATATCCCTGTGTGTGATATCTCACTTTTTTAGAGCCTGGCTGTGTCCAACTGGCCCTAAAATCCTCAGTCTGCTGATTCTTAACCTTATTCTTATTGTTAAATGCAATCAAGTCAGTTCTGACCCATAGCCCCATGGAGCAGCTAGTGAGCTTGAATCTCTGACCTTGTGCTTCAAACTGACTTTGCAGTCCAGCGCATTAGCCCACAGTATCACACCAGGACTCCAACCATATTCTGTTGTTGTTGTTGTTAAGTGTCATTGAGTCAATTCCGACTCATAGCGACCCTGTATAGGTTTCCAAGGAGCAGCCAGTGGGTTTGAACCGCTGACCTTGTAGCGCAAGCTGACCTTGTGGCCAGTGCATTATCCTGCAGTGCCACACTAGGACTCCAACCTTATTCTAGGGACACCTTATTTACCTCTCTTCCTTCCCTTCCTAGAAGCCTCTCTGTGCTTGCTCCCTGCCTACACTTCTTCACCCCACTCACTTGTCACCGTGCTGTAGCCCAGCTTCCCTCCACACCAAGATAATGCCCTGGCTGCTAAACCTGATGGACATTTCCTAGTCCTTCTTTCCACTGACCTCCACAGCTCTGGAC